AGCTGGGAAGGCAAACTCAGGATAAAAAAAAATGATAACATTAATATATTGAATGTGTACAAAGAATATTGTAACTAAGCATATGATTTAAGAGTTACTTTTCTCCATTGGCTGTTTTTTTTTTTTTTTTAATTTCACCTTTCCCAAATGTTTTATAATGATGTTAAATTGATTAGTGATGTTATGAAACAAAACTGGTTTAATTTTCATTGCCAGGCACTCCTAGCGCTCACTCCCAGTTTATTTACCAGGTAACAGACCTCCCGGTGAATGGCTTGAGCATGGTTTTCGCTTGCGTGACTTGAATACAGTCACTATGGGAGACTTGCCTGCTCGATTGGACTGGTCTATCATGGGTTGCACTATTCTTCTCCGGGCATTAATAAACCTGTAACCAAGAGAGTAAAGAAACCATTATTCCTTTTAAAATAAAATGAAACAAACAAAGGAGGAGAAGGGAAAGAGCAGAAGATGTATGGCGGTAGGAGCAAAGCTAGGTCCTGGCAAAATGGAACTGCTTGGACTCTCCCTTGCTCTATGTGGTTTCACATGCTGCAAAACCTGTAACCCCTGATGACCTTTGAGTACACAGGCTTGGGGTTTCTGAGTTGATTTATGTTTGCCTGTTTTACCACAGTTGGACACTTCCATTTCATCTTTTCATGGGGGAATTAGCAGAGTTTTCAGGAAACAATACCAGCCACCACTCTTTTCATTTCCAAGGGGGTAAAATTGGTATAGAGAGTGCTATGTTCATAAGGGTATCTGTTACCTCTGATAATTAGTGACATTTCAATCTTATGTTCTCTGACTTTCTTTTTTTTTCCTTTTCAACAATTTTTATCAAAACCTTCCCTACCTCTTGCAAACCTAATTCTATTTTAATGCCCACTATTAAGATAATGAACTGGGATGGCAGCACACCATCAAATGAAAGAATGTCTGGAGTTTATCACCACTAACTCACACTGCTGGGGACTTCAGAGAAAAGCATTCCTTGTAGAGATTTCTTGGATTTTTTTTTTTTTTTGCTCTTTATGCAAAGTCTGAGGTCAAGGCAAGGTCACAGCTATACAGTAATTGAACTTATCAGCTTGCTTTCTCCAGCCAGTACTGAAAATTTATAACAAACATCATATTAAGACACAATTATTGTAGCCCCTCCAGAAATGGCTAGTTAAGGCAAAAATTTGAAATGCAGTTAATTAAGCCCCTTCAAAGTCATGTTTATGAAACTTCTAACTCTTAAGATCCACTTGTACTACGCAGCACTAAGAATTACATATCAAATAGAAAAACGGAATGAGACATATTAGATTCTGAAATAGTAAACTGCTTTTAGTCCTCAACCCAGATTTGAATATATCAAACATGAACTACACATAAAAGAAATACAATGAAAAGTTTAATAATGCATTATTAATAATTAAATGATCCAGAGTCCCGTATGAATTCCAGTTTGCAAGTCTGCCCCACTTCAGGGGAAAAAATAGTTTCTAAATACAAAACCATTAAACAGACAGGGACAGGTTTTTAAATATAAAAATAGATAAGTTTGTCCATATCCTGTGTCCTTCCGTTTTTTCGTTATCTGGAAAGTCACTAACACAAATAATGAAACTGGAATCTAACTAAAAGGTACACTGTTGGTGCTCTTATTGGCAATATACATGATACCAGTTCTTCTATATGAAGTCCCTGAACTTCTAATAAAAATATTTTAAAACACAGATCTACAACAAATTCTGTTGCAAATCAGGTTATCATTATCTTGTATAAACCATGAAAATTGGAATCATGTGAGCAGAAGGTTAGATTAATTCTCCATTCTCATTATAAGCACAGGTGTAGCACAAACACCATGTGAAATAACCAATTAAAATGAAAAAAAAAAGATGTGCTTTTTCATTAGCTGCCTTCACTGCATGACCAATTAGAAAATTATTTAATATTAATATTCTGCATATACCAAAAGTAATTTTCATAGTAACTATCATAGGCAAGAAAGGAAAAAGAACAACCCAGCTCTTTATGTATGATACTGTTTGTATCTGCAGAATTTGGAAAGAAGCAACTCTGCCTGCTAACTTTCTTTTTAAAACATGTTTTATAGATGCAGGATGCAATTTCTACCATTGACCTAAAAATAGGAAAAGCCCTCTTTCCCCCCCCCCCTTAAGTTTTTATTGTGAATTGAGTGATAGTTTACATGGGAGACCATCGGTTTTACACTCATCATTTCATTGCAGTGATTACAATCTCCTCCGTGCATCATCATTCAACAGTATTTGCTTCCATCCCCTCTGTTTTTTGTTTGCTTTTTTTTGGGGGGGGGGGGCATGCACACAACAACACTCAAGAATATATTATAATTTAAACAACCAAAGGGCACATTCTGCAAGCCTGCCTCCTGCCCACCAGCACTCAGTCTTACTCTTTCCATGAGTTTAGAGTCCTCAGCTGCTCTCTCTCTCTCCATATCCTCATCTCTGCCTCCACCTCTGGAGTCAGAAAAGCCCTTTTTTAAAGTTGAGAAACCAAAGCTCAAAGAAATTGAGTGACTTATTTGAGGTCCCAAGTTCCCCAAGAGCTGCCAATACTTTGCTGAATGACACACAGCAGGGAAGAAGCATGAATGTGAACATTCTGTAGACTGAGGCATCTGATGGGTCTATTGTATGTGTGTATAAAAAGATGTTCTTCTTGTTAAGTGCTGTTGAACTGATTCCAACCCAATTCAAACCCTGTATAGGGTTTCTGAGGAGCAGCTGGTAGGTTTGAACTGCCAATTTTGTGGTTCATAGTCCAGTGCTGATGCTACCATACCATACCAGAAGCTTAGAATTAGAAGAGTTTAAATTGGTGAAAGGGTTTTAGATCAAGTAACACAAAACCTTCTACCAGTTTGCCTTATCCTGGATGCTGTGGACTCTGAAGTGAAGTGGTAAGTGGATCTACTTGGTAGTGATATCTTAGAGGGGATTCATGTCAGGGACTGAACCGGTTGCTATTGAGGCATTTCTGACTCCTGGCAACCTCATGTGCTATAGAACAGAACTGCACTCCATAGGGTTTTCATCTCAGATTGAGGCTGTCTTCCGAGGCACCTCTGTTGTTCTTGTTAAGTACTCACAGCATCCCTGTTATGCCTTTCAAACATACAAACATGGTTGCCGTGACCCTTGCCCTTTCCCTTCATCTCTCTAGGTTAAAAACATTCCTGATTCTAAAAAAGTTCCTTCTATGATGTATTTTGGATACTTGGTGTGGTGCTGTAGAATCAGCACTGGACTTCAAACCACAAGGTCGGCAGTTCAAACTCACCAGCTGCTCCTCGGAAACCCTATATGGGTTGCTATGAGTCAGAACCAACTTCACAACACTTAACAACAACAGGTGTGATTTTGAGTCCACTCACCACCTGCACCATGGGCCACTCTCTGCTCAATGTACTGATGTTTTCCTGAGCTCTTTTTAAGGCGTGTAGGGGAACAAATCCCCTTACCACAGTCTCTTAGCTACATATCCCCACATATAGGGTGCTATTTGCTTCTCTTCTGGTGGCAATAATTTTTTTTTTTAAACTTTGTGAATTATGTGATCATTTACATGGGAGAACATTTGTTTTACATTCATCCTATCATATATCGTTTCATTGCCATGGTTACAATCCCCTCCATGCATCATCAACCAACCAAAGGGTATACCCTGCAAGTCTGCCCCTCTGTTGTCAGCACATAGACCCTCTCCCTCTCTGGGTCTACAGTCCCCAGCCAACCCATCTCTCCAAGTCGTCATCTCTGCTGCCATTTCTGGTGCCTCTGTTTCTCTGGGTAGGGTCCCACACTCAGCTTTTCTCTCTTGATGGTCCCAGGGACCTCCATAGTGGCAATAATCTTTTGTCATTAATGACAACTCTAATGTAAGCTACCCATAGGATAAAACCAAACCCAGTGGGCAGCTTACATCATCTATACTGCTGTAGATTCTGACTCGTGGCAGCCCATGTGTGTCAGAGTAGAACTACATTAGATACGGTTTTCAATGAAAGATGTTTTAGGAAATTTGAGGGTCTTCAAAAAGTTCACAGAAAATAAAATTAAGATATAATGCAGGGGGGAGGGAAATTATTTATGGGCTAGGATGGCCAAACTTCATCTCTCATATGGTAGGGTAGAGGGTCAGAAAAAAAGAGGAAGACCCTCAGCGAGATGGATTGGCAAAGTGGCAGCATCAATGTGCTCAAGGGTGGCAACGATAGTGTGGTTGGCCCAGGATCGGGCAGTGTTTCTTTCTGCTGTGCATAAGGTCGCTGTGAGTTGGTACCAACTCGATGGCACCTAACAACAACGGAGGGTAGACACATGTTAACATGGGTGATGGGGCTAGCAATGCACAAAAAGGAGGTTGGTCGAGGAAAGATGAAGGTAGCAGCAAATACAAGGAGGAATGTAAGAATTAAAGTGAAAAGAAGTAAATACTGTTAACTGTTGGTACATGGAGGGGATTGCGATCATTGTAATGAAGTGAAGTGTATGATTTGTTGAGTGTAAAACTGATGATCTACTCTGTAAACCTTCATTCAGTTCACAATAAAAAGTTAAAACAGAAAGAAAGATAATGGAATTTTTTCACAGACTTTTTTAAAGTCACCTCATAGACCCAAGGAATCCTGGTGTGGCGCTGTGGGTTAATGCGCCAGACTGCAAAGCCATTTGAACTGCAAGGTCAGTGTTCAAGCTCACTAGCTGCTCCTCGGAAACCCTACACAGGCTTGTGTTATGGGTCGGAGCCGACTCGATGGCACTTAACAACAATGACAACATAGACCCAAGGCACCACTGAGTGAACTTGAATTGCCAACTTTTCAATTAGTAGTGAAGTGCTTAACTGTTTTCACCAATCAGGGAATCCTACCAATTGGGTATGTCGATATATTGAAACAGTTTAATATTTTAATATAATGAAACATAATACATATAGAACATAGTAAGCCTAAACCTGTTACTGAATTACACTCCCTAATAGTATGTGAACAGTTCATATTATTATCACAGTGTACATTTTCATATGAAAATAGCTAACCAAATAGCAAAATACTTTATTTCCAAAATAACAGTATCACCTTTTTCCCATCTTAAAACCATTGACACATTTGATTCTCTTTAGTACATTTTATAATTATCCCAGATTACTTTATAGGCACTTCTCTATGGAATTATGCTCCATACAGCAGAGCCATGCATTTAGATGGTTTCAGGGTCAATTCAAATACAAAAACATTTTCCTTCTGGGCAAAGTAATAAAGTGACATTCTTGCTCCTCCCACTATAAGTCAAACTGAGGTCAGTTCCTCCATCCCTGTATCTGTTTAAATAAACTGGTCCA